AACTCTGAACTGAGACGGCGGTCAACGGAAACTCAATTGGGTCGAAGGATGGATACAAGAAGAATTGATCGATCTCTTGACTGTTTGACGGTGCGGAGAAGAACGAGGAGACAGAAAAAGTACGAGAAGAGCAGACAGAAAGACCGAGAAAAGAAAGGGACTTAATGGGAAGAGGAGGTTGGAAAAAGGGAAGCCAAAACAGCTGGAAGTTAACCTCTCAAGAGGAAGAGGAAGAAGAAGAAGCGGGGTTTGGATTTGCGTCAAGCTCAAGGCTGGCTGGGCATAAGTTAGTACTGTCCTTACCTAGATTCACTTAGCTCCAGTTAGATCAGGGATAATGTTAATGGGGCCTGGCTATATCTTAGTAGACAATTGCTATAACTACAGGTGCAGGTACTGTCTGTCCACTACACCACACAAGTCCGATCTCCATCAATAGACTAGCTGAATGACAAGCATTGTGTCTCTCTCATGAATCAACACCTCCCGAATAAACTCCGACCACCCGACCATCTAGACCTGATCAGTCCGTCCTTCCACGAGTTCGAAGGATGGAAGGATAATGACCTTGGAGATAGACTAACTACTATATCATCATGACCTGTTTTTCCCACCGAGGCTCATAACCCATCAAAGTCGCCACGAACCATGGACCAGGCCCTCTGGGAGATGTCATACTCATCATTCACATCAATCCTCATCCAGCTCCGATGCGATGAGGTCATCATCCCTCCGTTCTCAGATCGGCTGTTCCGAAGATCATCGACCAATTGATAGAGCGATTCCGCCAACGGTTAAAATCCGTCCTGACGTGATAGACCGGATATGCCTTCAGTAAAAAGTACTGTCCAACATGTAACAGTGCACTGTAGTTAGGTGGTTACTCTTGGTTCCCTGTTCCCTCCTGAATGTTTCAAACTCTCTTTTCCCACTCAGCAACCGCCCACACGAGATAAGACATGCATGTCACTCTGCAGTTGAAGCTGCATTGATCCGGTTGTGAAACGAGGGGGTTGATAAGGGGGGAGTAAATGAGTCGACTGAGTTCCGGAGTCAACGTGGCACGCACTACTCCTTACAGTAGAACACTGTGAATGCACTGTATGGATCATTCAAAGTTACCAGTGAGAGTTTGAAAAGTCAGTCAAACTGGCCTGGCGGTGACTTCATCACTGACCGCCCCGCCTAGATGGATAGGCTCAGTAACTACTACTCATACCTCCAAGTGGTCTAGTGCCAATCTAGTCTAGTCTAGCTTGAGTCGGTTGTGGATCGCCCCGCTTTCGGGGTGTTTTTTTCCTCGGCCTCGTCCACCCTTTTAAGCTTCGATTTCAATGGTTGAGCCTGCGCCTATCCCGTCTACACATGTATGTTTTCGGGTGAGCAGGGCCAGACTATGGGACGCTTGCATCCGTCCTCTTCTCTCCCCATATTCGCCATATGGCTTGCCTGCCCATGCTGTGGCATGCGTCTTGTCTTGTGTTACACTGACTTAAAACCTTAATCCTTCAACGCTAGTTATCGGTCTGTTGATTACTCAACAGATTGTATGTTTTTATGTACGGTATTTCGATTGCCATCAAGGCTGAATTGAATAACGAACCCACCCCCTCCCCCACCGACCAAAAAAAAAGAACACAATATAGATGAACGCCCGCTGCACTCCATGCCAAAATGCTGTTTCATCCCCAATGATGATCACCCTCCCCGCGTAACAAAAATACAATGGTCTCGAAAAGGCCGCATGCCTAGATGCGATAATGGGCCATATTTTTCTTGATCTCATCCACGATTTCCACCGCTTCGAGAGCATTGCGCGCCTCGAAGTCATACCGTTTCTGCTCGTTGGCATCGTTGCCGCGCAGAACCACCACCCGGAAGTTCTTAGGGTGTCGTCGACTCACTTTGCACCCCACTACGTCGTTGAAGCTGATCGACCGCGTCTTCGTGTCGGATACCGTCTTGCCCGTATCCGCCGGCATGATATGCATGTAATCGTTGTCGAACGTCAAAACCCGATGGTTGGACTGCGTGAACGACATAGACTGTTTGCGCCACACGTAGTATCGTCGATAGTAGCCGCCAGTAAGGTCTTGTTTCTGTGTGAGAGGGTGTAGCATCCGCTGGCCGCTCTTCTTTCCTTTCTTAACCGGAGCGGTGTTGCTGTCAATGAGAAGGGGTGCATTGGGCGATGAGCTGCCCGGAGAGCCAGTCATTTGAGGTCCAAATCGCCGGCGCACGAGGTCTAGGTCGGTGAGATTGCCCAGAGCTTCCACTGTTCGGTCCAAAGGTGCAATTGTACTAGATCCCATCACCTTCAGCAGGTAGTTGCCCTTGTCAAGGCCCCAGCGTTTGCACACGGAGTCAAGAATCTCGGCAATGTAGCTATCAGTTGAGGTATTGAGTGTCATTACCTGTGTCGAGGCCTCTACATTGGTGTATCGGATCTTCAACGTTTTGGAAACCCCTAGGCGAGGGGTAGCATGAGACGTAGGCACAGCTGGCCGATCGGCAGGTGTCAAAGTATTGTCGTTGAGAGCCGAGGAAAAGGGCTGTCCAAGGATTGGGTTCGGACGGGGCGCCTTGGCCTGCGGCATAGGCTGGCTTGTCAGAGCAGGTGCACTTGCAGCAACATCGGCACTACTATCCTCCGAAGATGGTGCCAAACTGTACATGGGAAATAGACGCTCATTCTCCTCAAATTCGGCACTGGACGCTTCCACAAGGGCGAATTCATCGTACTGTTTCCCACGAGTACGGCGGCCAGCAGCCCGGTTGTTGTTCGAGGTAAAATCGGCGATTGGAGATGTGCGGCTAAGTGCGGGAAAGTCATACTCGACTTCACCATCCTCCACCATCCGTAGAGTCCACATGTTCACCGTGAGCTTGTTCCGATCGATAGCCGGTTCAAGACCATCCTCTGTGTATCGCCAGAGGGCCAACCCAATGGCTTCCACGACTGTCACTGGGGCTGGCTGCTCCGCTAGCTTCGACTCCCGGGCAATTGGCAGATCCAATGGCTCATCCGGATCAGTAGAGAATGGCAAGTACAATTTAATATTGAGCACATCGGTCAGACCTTTGCCAGATAGTACTGCAAATTTCTCGACCGGGTTCGTAGGCGCTTGCTTGCGCGCATTGAGGGCCTTCGATAGCAGACTTACCGGTTGGATCGTGCTGATCGGACGCGGCGGCGGGAGGTCCTGCAACTCTGGTGCGGGAGTCCGGGACTTTCGTGGCGATGCGGTTTGTGATCCGGCCCCATTCTGCAACTTGTGCATCAACGCGATTGGCGAGGAGGAATCCAAGCTACCGGTAATACCAACATTTTCCAAGAGTGATGTCGACCCCGCGGTGGCATCGAACTCCGATGAGAGAGCCGAACCCACCGACTCTGCACCGGAGTCCTCTGCCTGTTCATCCAGCTCTTCGAGGTCTCTGTTACCCGCCCCGTGTCGGTGCTTCCTAAGTTCGATGACCTGATCTTGTCCGGAGAACTGGATCTGTCTCCGCTTGAAAAGCGATGAACTGAGATCGTTGTCGGACGAAAGGTCACTGCTGGCCGTTGTAGTTGTATCGCGGCGCGGTCGCTCGTTGACGCTACTAACAGCAGTTCCCAACGAACCCGTGCGGTAATGGGTTCCCATAGCTGGATGCGATGGAGGGGTGACCATGACCTGAGGGCCCTCCTGGCGATCAGTTGAACGTATCGGCGACGATCCGGCTCTTGTTCGTATGGGCAATTTCGGAAACTTCATCTGGTTGGCACCGCTGCAGTAAGTGAGCATTTAGCTGGTTCCCGGGTTGTTTCGAGGAATATCGAATCACCAACCTTGGAGCGCTATCCCCATCATCGTCGCTCTCGTCACTCAAATCACTACTATCGTCTTCCTCAGCCTCCCGATGCTTCTGTTGATCATTTTGCTGGCGATCCCTCCGGTGCGTGCGCTTCCCTCTGAAATTCCGCCGTCCGATAATGTCCATGTTACTCTTTCCTGTCACCATCCCGCCTTCATCGTCATCGCCATCTTCCCCCGCCCCAAGCCTCGCAGACTCATTGGCATCTCTGGCAATACCAAGTTGATAATATTCCGAGGCGACAGCTGTGGTGAGGGGTATGGGAGGCGAGTATGTCCGCTTGATTTGGGCGGCGCCGGTCTGGGTGTTGGGGTTGGCGGAGGCGGAAGACCAGCCCGCAGCACGAAAACCGGGAGTATTGAGCACGGTATTGTTCACATTGATGAGGCGGTCACCGATTCCATCTTTAATGGTCGAGAGGTAAGAAGTGCGCAGTTGCCATATCGTGAAACTAGAAACCCCCATCAGTCCCTAGAACAACACACGAACCACCGCCGCGTAACATAGGCGATGCGGAGATCGCAATCCTGTAACATACTCTTCATTGTGAAGGAGCGACATTTTCCAGAGAGCGCAAGGTGGAATGCGAATAGAATGGGAGTTCGAAAAGGTAGGTTGCAGCCAAAAGTGGCCACCATTCACGTCGGACGATGCGCAATCGCTATCGGTGATCGAGTGGACATGGTCCTAGAACGGCGTAACAAAGGGAAGTGTGGATAGATGCGCCAGACTTGAGGAGCGATAGGTTGGCGGTCAAGAAAAGAGAGTGTCACTTGCAACCAGGACCAGCCTGGGGAGCTGCAGGAGAGATGGGTACGGTAACGAGAGATAAGTAACCAAGGCAGTGAGACCGCACGGTGGGTTTGTGGAGGAGGCAATCAATCTCACCCGAGCGTAGTTACACGGGAGGGGGAGATCCCGTGCAGTCGTCGGATCTCCGCACCGCCGCCATTGTTAGACCAAAAGAGGCTTAGCGTCCAGGGAAAGAAAGTCGCGTCAATCTATACAATTCATCACACACCATAGATTAGACATTGTCTCATCTCAGTGACTACTAGAACTAGAGTCTTTGAATAAAATCACAGATTGACAAACATTGGCAGAACGGTAAAGTAATGCATTCATCTTCCACGCTACTTATTACGAAAACCAGGCCTGCAACGTCCGGCCAGATCCTGCCTCACATCCAGGGCTCGCTCAGAGTATCATACATAAAAGATTTCACCTCGTGTTAACATCACCCAGACTTTGCTTTGGGCTTCCGACCTCTCGCCTTCTTCGGCTTCTCCTCGTCATCGACATCATCTTCGTCCGCTGTCTTCTTTGTCTTCTTCCCCTTGCTAGCACCGCCCTTGGTGGCTGACTTCTTGGGAACTCGGACGTATTTGTCTTTCTTCAGGTCAAGCTCCTCAGCTTCATCGTCCTTTGACTCTTCAACAACCTCTTCTTCATCCGATGCCTCCACGGCGTCTTCAATATCGGGTTTCTCCTTTGCCATCTTCTTGGGAGCCGTCACACTGCTCGCCTTGATGAACGGCAGGGGGTGTGAGCGTTGATTATAGACTCGTGTAAATGAGGCCTTCGTCTGCGTTTCCAGCTTCGCATGCTCTGCATCCATCGGACCCAAGCCCAGCTCTACTAGGGCATCCCAGTCTTCCCTGGTAAGGAAATAACTATCCATGAAGTCGATTACTTCCTCAACGGCGTCTTTACCTTCATCCTTCAATCTGCGGACCAAGCGATCCCAGAGCAGGGGCATGTACTGTTGCCGAATCTCATCCCGGTCGCCAGATGCACGTAGGCGCATATGGCCTTGGATTTCTTTGACGTAACGCCACAATTTTCCTGCATACCGATATTAGACATGCTTTGAGGGAATAATTAAAAAAAAAAAAAAAAAAAAACAATACCTTGCTTGCTGTTTTGTCCCAACCAACCAGCAAACGTAGGCCGTTCTCCCATGGCTCCATACACGAAGCTAGCAGGTCGAACAAAACTAAAAGCAGCATGAGTAGGCATTAAGCTCCACTGCTGCTGGGTCCCATGAATCATGCGATCCACAAGGTCGCCGTCGCTGATACTAGATGCTGCATTGTCGATCAACTCGAGTTGCTTCAGCCTCTGCTCTCGACCTTGGTACCCAGAGGCCAATGTCTGCCTTGTCTTGAGATAATTCTCCTGGACCATCAAATAGCTGAATTCATGGTCGTTGAAGTACAGTTCGATTTTGTCGTTAAGAGTGCTTTTTGAGGTGTGTGCGAACATTTGGGGTCCGAGGATCTTGTTCACAATATCCCATGGTTTAAGAATAATATGCTTTTCCCAGGCTTTCGACATTTCCCGTCCTTTTTCATAATTCAGATTCTGCTGGTCGAGTTTCACAGTAGAGAGCATGTTGATGATTTGACGAATATCAGAATGGGTTCCTTCGATCAGACCGTCCAGTACCGGAGGCGGTATTCTCAGGTTTTCGCGGTAACAGATTGTTGAAAGTCGGGCTCTCATTTGATCTGCACTTGGGCGCCGGAAAGCAAGTTCAAAGACAGTGCCTTCGAAGGGCTTCAATTTTGGAATTTTCCACTCGTTAGAGATGAGAATGAGGGGGATATGGGTTTTCTTCGCAACAGCCACCAGAGCTCCGACGCCACCTCTATCTCCGGCAGACATTCCATCAACTTCGTCCATTATCAGAACCAATTTCTTTTTGTCACTGTTCACCTTCTTGCCCTCTCCTGCGAAGTATCCTTGTAGAGAGGTTGTGTCTAACACCCCAACAAGGCCGTTCTCGACGAGTTTCTTGCTTCTTGTGTCACTCGCGTTAGTCTCAACGACATCGTAATTTTCCAGCTTCGCAACCAGATGAGCCGCTGTAGTTTTTCCAATACCAGGAGGCCCATGGATGATCACGGCTCGGTAGAGGCCGCTTCCGTCTTTTCCAGGTCTCTTGAAGTTGTATTTCGCGTTCTTGTGCCAGTCTCGTAGCCAATTCTGGAGTCTCTCGACTAGGGTCTTGTTGCCACAAATCATGCTTATGGATGTTGGCGCGTATTTGGTTGTCCACAGTTCATCAGCGACTTTAGCGGATTGGGACGCTTGAGATGCTGAAGGCGGAACAGTATCCGAGGCGCGAGCGGCCATCTCCTTGCGCTTCTCTTCCTTGTCAATTTCTGCTGCCATCGCCTTGACTTTGGCCTCGTCTGCTTTCTTCTTCGCTTCGTATTTTTCCCCGGCCTTTCCATCTCCTCCATTTGCTGGAAGCCGTCGAATGAGCTCGAATAGTCCCTCTTCGTTAATTGTCTTGATCTTGTGTTGTCGGATTGTCTGGAGCTTCTTGGGCCCAGCATCCGCTCCTAAAACAACGTAGCTCGTTTTCGAACTGGGGGCACCGGTAACCTTGCCACCATACTTCTTCACCAAGGTCTGACCCTCCTCGCGGCCCAACGTGTCCAGAAGCCCGGTAAAGACAAACGACAGTCCAGCGAGACAGTTCTCTGCTCCGACTGGCAGCTCCACGCTTCCGCCCACAGGAGACCTTGAACGTTGTGCCTGAGCGGCGAAATTGAATTTCGTCTTTTCGCCCGACTGTGGCGGAGGGGAAGGAGCCTTGACGGTTGGGATGCTGTCAAAGATATCCTGGACTTCCTTGCTCTCGGGTCGATCGGTCTTTGTCGGAGACGCTCGGGGCTTTTTGGCGGCATGCGACGTCGCTTTCGCTTTCACTGCACTCTTTTTAGGACTGGCCTCGAATTCAGAGTCTTCCTCCTTGTCCAATGCTTCCGACTTCCGTTTGCGAGCTGGGCAGGAGGTTGTCGATTGCGCTGCGCGAGAGGGGCGCTTAGGCAAATCTTCCATTACCACATCATCGTCTGACTCTGCAGGGGGTGGTTGTTTGCTTCGTCCGGCTCGTTTTACCGGGCTGGCAGGCTTCACGGCAAGCTCTTCAAAATCGTCGTCGCTGCCATCCTGCTCATCCTCCTCAACATAATCGTCATCGCCTTTGCCTCTCTTCTTGTATTCGGTCGCAAAGACGTCATCGCCACCCAGCCCCTCATCGTCGTCGACTACCGTTGTCGTCTTTCTAGTAGATCCACGAGTGGCTCTCTTAGGAGTAGTCTGTGTATCTGCACGCGTCTTAGGCTTCGGTGACTCGTGCACAGGCTCGGCTGGGGTTGGCTGCGACGGTTTAGCTGTGGTCGCATTGTTGCTCTTCGCTGGTCTTCCTCGCTTCTTGCTCGAGGCAAAGTAGTCCGAGGTAGAAGTCGGTTCTCCTTGTGATTCTTCAGGTTTCCTTGAAGCTGTCAATTGATGAAGTTCTGCTAATAAGGTAGAAGGGGCACGTACGGCTTGCTTGTTGTTCTCGCCTTTGGGGGTGAATGCTTCACCTCAGTTACGTCTTCTTCGTCACTATCATCAACAACCTTCCGAGTGCCTACAGCCAGGTTAGCAAGGCACAATCGGGACGGTTGGTATGATTCTCACGCTTCTTCCGAGTAGCAGGCTCCTAGCAACGCAACTGAAGTCAGCAAGGAGTTGTTGGAACGATAATTGTGAGAAAGTGCACTGGAGTGCGAGCTCGATCATCGACGTACCTCTTTCTTTGCAACCGGCTTCGCAGGAGATGCGTTTGAGCCTTGGCTCGACTTCGCGCCAAAGAAGCTCCGGATATCAGAAGGCATGGTGAACGATAGTTGTTGGAGCGTGCACAACCGTGTAAGGTAGCGCTCCCTGAGAACAAAATTTAACAGTCAGAGAGGACCTACGCTCCAGGCAACAACAACGTCCAGCAGGTGGAAAGCCTTCACCACTTATCGCTGGGAGCTACATACAATTCCGGCAGACACGGACGCGCGCCTGCCTGCAGCTACGCCGACGTGACTTAATTGGCTTACCTAAGACAGAGAGGCGCGTGTGGCACGTGCGCAGCACTTTCTTCCCTTTCAGGAAATGGGGGAATTCGGGCCCGGGCCTGCAGATACGCCGATAACCTGAAAGTCTGCCGGGAACCCTCTGAATATTGCTGAGATCCGGTAATTGAGGGAGGGCCATTTGCTGCATTTCAATCCCCAATGGGTCCTCAGTTCAAGATGTTCTCCGGGTCTCAAATGGCCCTGTTCCGGCCTTCATGTAAGATTCTGCGCTGCCTCCCAGATTTTTCCTCTTCTGTTTGGCCATGAACCTCCATCAAATTCTCTCATCACGGAAGGGAAACTGACACCGATGCGATGCGTTAGGCTTCACGACCCCTTGCACAGCGCTTCCTCTTTCGCGATGCTTCTCCACGACCTCGCCTGCTCTGGATTGGCTCACTCCCAAGTACGCCGAGGTGTCGAAGTCTCCGAAGGGTCGCCCGCATGTCCCGACCGGTGGCTCCTCGCGCGGTACGACTGTTGTCTGGGGTGACTATGGCTTGCGGATGAAGGATCACGACCGTCGGTTGCCCGCCCATTCTCTTAAGATCGCGGAAGAAACCATTAAGAGACGCCTGAGGGGTATGAACTATACGCTATACAAGCGAGTCAGCGCGAACATTGGTGTCTACACCAAGGGCAACGAGCAGCGTATGGGTAAGGGTAAAGGAAAGTTCGATTACTGGACGGCGAAGGTCGCTGTGAGCAGAATTGTCTTCGAGCTGAAGGGCGACCTGCACGAGAAGGTTGCCAGAGAAGCTTTCCGTCTGGCCGGTCACAAGCTGCCTGGTAGGCGCTCCCCCCCTTCATGGCATCTAGAAAATATCGCCATTGACGGCCCACGACACTAATACATCTACTATACACAGGACTCTGGGAGTTTGTGAAGAAGGGCGAGCCCCCGGTGGTCGGACTGACGAAACTCGGCAACGGAGTAACCCTGGAGAGCCTTAAGCGTGCCCGCAGAAGCCCAGCCCTGGGGATGGAGAATCTCCCCACGCCCCCGCAGTCGACCTCCTCCAGCCCATCCGCTTCTCAATAAACAAACCAACCGCCCGTTTCGAATTTCTTGGAGAATCTGTTCATTACCCATGTTTTATTTACATTTGTCTCGCGGCACCTAAGCCCCGACACCCGAGCCAGGCCCATATCCCTGTTCTCTCCTGATCCTTGCCGCCAGCGCTGCAGCCTCCTCTGGGGTCTCGGGCTTTGAATCTTTTGTTGTACATTACCATCAGCCATTCACATTCTGCTTTATTGCGATTGATCTCGCAAAAGGTGTCGATGTCTTTCTCATATGCGGAGTTTATATTATATTGAAAGGAAAAGGGAAAGGGAAAGGGAAAAAAAGGAAACCTTGGAAAAAAAAGGGTTGCGAAACTGTACCTTTATCCACGATTCCTGAGAGACCAGACGTAGCCTCTCCCTTCTCGAGCTGCAGTGCCAGTGGCGTGTCCCCATTCTTTTCCTTGCCTTCGTCATCCTCATCTCCGAGGATCGGGTTGTATTCACTTCTTGTGTGCTCGCAGTGGGCTAGTCCGTCCCATAAGCCGTGGCTCTTGTAAATCATGTCCCAAGTGAAAAAGCACGAACTTACCACCTAGTTGACCGGTCTGCTTCGGCGGAGTCTCTGTGAAATAACGAATCGACTCATACCTACAATCCCGGTTAGCACACGGTAATCCTCACTTCCTCTGATTCGCGAAATCCGAGCAGCCAGCGGTCACATACTGAGTGTTTTCACCACCGGGCTCGATATCCATGAGGTTAGGGTTCGACATGATGTAGTTTTCGCGATGCTCCGAATAAAGAAAAAGTTGACTCGTGGGATTGATAAACTTAGTAATTATCCTCGTCTGTGTTTGTTAAAAATTAGAAGGGATTGGAAAATGGGGGGGATCCGCCTGCGAGGTGGTGCTCGAATATGTATACGAGCTATGACGTAGTCAAGTGAATCGACCCAGTCAACCAAGATCAGCTGTCGATGAATTGCCAGTGGCTACCAACTCCCATTCAGGGCACCCCCATGTCAGTCATGGATAATGCTGCAGCTTATACCTAGAGAGTCTACTCCGCAGCAAGCTGTTTGTGTGAGGCTAGTTATCTCAACCAATGGAGCGTCATCCCCAGGTTCCCCTCCCACCTCCCCTACTATCTCTTCTCTTGCCCAAAATCCCATCCACCTGGTGAGTATTGAAGTTTGTAGATGATCTACATGATGTCTTGCGCAGAACAACGGAATAAAGCTTCCGCTATGCCTAAAAGAGGAAGAAAAGGTCATTTACGCTATCACAGAACGCCTTATTTATGGAAATAACGACCCGTTATAGTACAATTGATTCATTACTCGTCCATTGTTTGTTATTCTAGTCCCTTTTAAAACTCCATGCCCATGAGGTAACTACACATCGAGTTAGCAATGATATCCAATGACATCCTGCTATATTGTGTCAAACAAACCTTTCATAAATGCGCATAAACTTGGCAACAAATGCCTCGAGATGGAAGATCAATTTCTGCGCAGCGATGGGTCAGTACCCTGACTGATTGCGGATCTCTTCAATAGAACTGGAACTTACGCTGCCCTGGGTGATTCTGTGCTCGTAGAAAGCCGACCACTTGATGACGTCGGGCTTGAGAGCATCGTCCACTTTGCCGACGAGCTGGAAGGTTAAGGTCTAGCACGGCCCGTTAGCCTGAAGACTTCCACAAATGGTGTCTCCGGGGGGAGGGGAATCAAACCTTGAGGATGGTAGTAGCCGGTATGCAATGCGTCAGCAGATCATACAGACGGGAGCGGACTCGCAACAACTGAGCCGGTGACCGTTCCGCCAGAATCTCATCCGCAGTTTGCGCAATCAATGCTTCCCAGTCGGGAGGTGGAATTGGCGTGTTGTCAGTGACCTTCTCACTGTAATGCTCGAAAAAAAAGTTGTCAGCCCCGGGGTTCCAGGAACACAAGCAATTAGGGAGGGGAACTCTTACTTCTGAGCATAAATGGCCTCAAACATCAGCAGCGCGCGGCGCAGGTTCCGATTACTCTCCTTCGCAATCCTCTGATTCAGCCCATCCGCCTCTGGCCACCCCTCCTTCTTGCCCGCCGTCCGCAACACCGCGCAGATATCCTTTTCCGTGGGCGCAGCGACCCTGACCAGCAGGGTGCGGGATCGGATCGGCGCAATGATATTCGAGGTGCTGTTGGCCAGGAGGATGAGTCTGAGGTTGGGGCTGTATTTCTCCATGGTCCGTCGGAGCGCCGCCTGCGCATCGCGCGTCAAGTGGTCCGCCTCGTTGATCACCACCACCTTGAACCGCTGCTTCGCCGAGAGATCGACCTGCTGCGTCTGCGCGATCTCCTTGAGCAGCTCCTGGACGACGACGCGGTCATAGTTGCCCACATCCGACGGTGTGATCTCCAAGTGGTACACGGAGGAGACAATGTTGAACTCCAGCTTCCGGTTGCTCGTCGTCTGGAAAACTCGGGCGTCGATCTTGATCTTCTCTACTCCAGGGCCGTACAATTCCTTCAGGGTTGCGATCGTGCGTGTCTTCTTGCCTGCGCCTGATGGTCCGTAGATCAGTAGATGTGGGAAGTCGCCGCTTTGTGCCTAAACATGTTTCGATGATTATGATCATTTCGCTATTCAAGGTTCTCTAGTGTGCCTTACCAGGGACTTTAGTCGTGAGGAAAGCTCTGGGTGATATGTCAGAGAGTCCAGCGAGCGCGGTCGGTGTTTATCAACTAGCAACGCCATCTTGAGTGATCGGTCTTGAGCTTCAAAGTGTATGGATGAAGTCGCTGGGCTATTTTGTCGCCGCCATACAATTCCGTCCCTCGAAGCTAATGGACGGCCGACGCGTCGCCCGTGACGCGAGCTTAATTGATGCTCCGTGCACTACGGCTGACTATGCATGTCGGGACCAATGAGAGCAATACCCGATTGTTCCGCACTCCGCTCTTAAGCCTCAGGCACTGAGCAATGTAAGGTATGCAAGTTTCCAATGTCGACTTGGGATGAGACTTGTGCTAGTCTGATCTACATGAGATTCCATCTCATGGCTTCCCTGATAACCGCAGACGGAATTGAGTAAGTACTTGGAATACCACTAAAAACGGCAATGATTCAAACTCTGGGCCGGTAGGCAATATACAAGGAAATTTTCCTACCCATATCGTACACATACTGGTAGTTCTTTGTATATACATGCTCTATAGTACAAAACCCGAATAGACGCCAAAGGTTATCTGCTATGGTGGCTTGGAGAGTATTTGCCGGAGGAGGGAGATGTGAGGTCTTTATGAAAGAGGTTGACAAGCAGGTGTCTTTACTGAAACCTGCTCGATTACAGGTCGTCAGAGGCTTTCCTCTGATGAGAGCCTCTCTGTCACAGGCGCCTGAGCTGGTGTCAAGAAAACAAAGTGAGCAAGGGTCTACAGATATCATCACGCAGGCAATGGCGTGAGCACCCCGTTATCATCGTATCGTGCCTCTGCTCGATGTTAGCAACCTGTACAGAGTGCGCGCTCGGCGTTGCTCTTACTGAAAAAAGTGTATGACAAAGTGATAGTGTCAATGCCTTTCATGTTTGGGTCCGTGACGAAGTCAGGGTCGATGAAGAAGAAAACCGGCATATCGACCGATTCCCCGGCGTTCAGCTTCTGCTCGTCAAAGCAGAAGCATTGAATCTTGCTGAAATAGGGTGCAACCTGACCAGGGGTCACACTGTATGTCGCAACGCCAATGATGTCGGTGGGACCCTTATTTGTAGCTGTAAAGAAAGCAAGCGCTGTTTCTCCCGGAAGCACACGGACTTCGCGTTGTTGCGGAGTGAATTTCCACGGTAAAACATCCGACACTGATCCATTGAAGGTGATTCTGAGCCGACGGGCGTCTGTCACGGGTTTGACACGAGATGCGGTATCGTTGTCGCCTCCGCGATGCGTAGTAGATGGTTGACCATTCCAGCCAGTTTGTTGGCAGATCTATACAATGGGCAGTAGAAGTAAATATATGAAACAGATGAAGTACATATTCACGGGGTTGAACACACCATTTTATACAGAGGAACAGAGCCATAGGCCAAAGCAACGGTACCGAGAATAATACTCATGGTATAATACCTAGTGATTCATGAGCATTGCACTAGATAGACAATCGCCATGTCATCATACATGGTGGACGCATTGCGCTTTTGCGATTGAGGTGTATTGAAGGGAGCATTAATATTTTGGCTTAGAACTGAATTGCGAGTGAAGAATCGTCTTCCAGAATCCATGCATCTCGAATTAGTCTGGGCAGATAGACGAAGACTTGATCCCGGCAATGGGAGCCGGCCCCATGAGGATATTGAACGGGAAATCATAGTTAAAGAGATGTGACGCGGGGACGATTGTAAATCTACACCCACTGCAGCATCAAGTCCAGGCTCGATAATGTCCTTGTCACACGTGACTCAAGAATCTCCGATAAAGTGGGCTGATCATGTGGTGATAATCATTGTTGTTACATAGCGGGCAGTTTTCTGCCACCGCCCTTCTTTAACAGTTTTGCCATCGGACTTTTGGGTGCTGTTCAGGGTTTCCCCACTAGATCTCCTTCTCCGAGGTTGAGGACATTCTGCCGCATCTCACGGTGACAAAGGCGGTCTGCGTCGATTTGCGCTGCCATTCAGGCATCAGACTATAGCTTGCCTGCACAATTAAGGGCTCATTTTATGCCCCATACTGTCTCATAAAGCTAATTCCAAATTACGGGAGGTTCAGGTCATGCTTAGGCACTTTTGCTTATGGATGTTTCTATGTTATAACAGAGGCGAAGACTCCCGATTGCAACTTGCCTTAGAACAATTGCATAGCTACGGAGTACCTAGTAGCCCTAACTGCCAATGTCAGAGAGGCGCTTGACAGCCCAATACCGCTGTGCCATGTCTCCGATCTTCAAAATTATCAGCCTGGAATGCTACACTTCATCTCCCTTACCGAGCCACCCGTCATTTGCGTGCAGACTGATACCGTTTGGCTCACTTGCTTATATGTATGAACTGAGTTTAGCCTTCTTCGAAGCCTCTTTAATGTTTCATACTTGATAACACTCGCTATGAAGATGCAAGCGCGGTCATTGCGCTAGTTTTCGACTCTCCAAGCCCATCTCATCGCCGGCTGATAATGGAATAGCGGAAGCGAGCATTGAGTCTGTCGATGCAATGATGCTTGAACAGATTGTTGCTGGAAGAAGGGAGTCGCTCGTGCCCGTTCATCTCAAGACACTTGCTGCTACCCTGCCAAAAACCCCTCGGACCATCTCGGGACGTTCTTGTGCACACGTTAGAAGAACAGCAGCGCTGATAGCAAAGGTAATGCGTTCACGATACAGATACTATCGAGCAAATAGAAACTGTCAGCATAGGATCTCAAAATCCAGGGTAGCCCAGAATCGGGATGACGGATGGAACGACGGGGCTAGTGCAACCATCCTCGAACCAAGCAACCGAACGCTATGGCCAAGTCAACCAAGCATACCTTCTTATCATAGAACCTCGGCATGACCGTCGCTGCGGCTCTGGGTGCTACAAATAATGCAATTTCTTGCCGTCTCTGCGCACTCTCAATAAGTATACTCCATCCGCACATGAGACATCCCGCGCCAACACAGAGCCCAGAATCCCACATCATGGGTGTGATTGTGTCACGGGCAAAGATCTTGGGGCCTAGCCTTGTTCTGGCGAGGCACACTGAGTAATAGAACATGCTCACAAACGAAGCAAGGAACGCAGATGAGCGCAAGGCGGTTGATAAGGCGTGCTTGAGTGACGACATTGACTTCAATTTGCGCAGGCGCAGGAGAAGCTGTAAAGGAATGTAAGTCGCACAAGCAAACTTGAACGTTCGAGCAAATCTAGATACTGCATGTTTCTCACAGCTCGGACCACATCCCATGTGGACCATCTCGCACGGTATAGGGACAGTGCTCGAGGGATCACCCCAGTCAAGAGGCCAACCGTAGTCCTTACACATGGACTGTAGGAGGGGAGCCTGTCCAGTATCCTTCCCATATACCAATACACCTCTCCTGGCACCGCGAAGTGCTTCAATCAGCCTAGAATCAACTTTTGCGACTTCCCCAATCCACTTTTCATAAGACCTTGGCAGTCTTTCTGGCATATAGAACCATGCCCACATGACTATCGCCGCACTCGCAGCGAATGCACCAGCATTGGCAAGCTTGGGCGCTACACGCTCTGCCCAGGTCCAGTGGTTTCTGCCCTTCCGCCACCGGCGCCACTGCTGCCACCCTATGCACACGATTGAATCCGCAGCGCGTGTGAGGCTAAACAGTGTAAGATCCATGCTCCGGCCAACGAATTGAGAGTTTGCGTTTGGTGCTTCTCTGACCATTGCCAGCTCCCCAGCACTCTGCATCGAAGTGCAATCATCAGAATTCTTCGGTTTACCCTGTATTCTGATGGGCTGTTTATTCAAGAGTTGAAATGAGTACCAAGCAGACAAGAACGCCGAGACAAACCGGATAATCCGCATGAGCTGCGAAGTATACGCAGATGCGTCAAGCTTGAAGTTGCGGCGTACATGCTCAAGACAGCATGAAAGTATTAAGGGAGCAATAGTTGAACCACCAATCAAAAGAGCACAGAATGTGGGAAAGCTCTCGAGCCGTAACGCATTGGTCAACGTATGGAGCAGCTGTCAAAAGCGAGATGAGCTATTGGTCTTCCAAGTGATACATCCGCGATTCACAAAGAGCACAAATAGCCAGCACACACCAATTGGTGTAGCATGAACAACCCCGGCCAAGAAGACAAACAGGGGGAGCTTCTTACCTCTTTCAGCCTGTCTTTGTTACTGAGCCTTTTGTCCTGGATGCGCCGTAGACAGGAAATGATTTTCGGGGTGGTTGAAGACAAGTATCCAAGAGCATACGCGCGCAGTATCCTTGAACAGTGAGCTTGGTACGGCTCAAGGAAAGGAAAGTCAAGAGGATTTGTGTTAGATGGGTCAGAACGTACGGCTTTAGGATGTTAACTCTGCTGCGATGCTGGGAGCGGATGGCAACAGGATCCATGGTGTCCCAAGCTTACCATTCATGACTCTCGATGGAAATTTTTGACCAATGCAGTCTACCAAATGTTGTCAGACAGGTGCTTCATTTCATTTGATCACCAGTGGCAGTCAAACGATAAACTTCTTCACGAACCTGTGAGGGGATGAGTCTGCCTCAAGATTGGACTAGGACATTACACAAAGTTGGGAGTTTAAGGCATTGAGTGCTGGCACAAACGCTTTGATCTGCGGCGATAACCACAAAGCTCTGTGCTCCACAGCAACCTTTCATAGGATTCCCCGCGGGATCCGTGCGACGCAGTTGGAAGGCCTCGGTTCTTGTAGACACGAGGGAGAGTCACTGCTAGGGCTGGGTCAGGGGTAACGATTATTCGGTAATAAACGACGATCCCCGTGGCTGCTTGGACCAAACTTGGGGTCTTTGGGCATCACCCGTGGATGAGCGGAGAGGGAAGGGTCTATAAAAAAAGATATCAGAGATACGACAAACAACCGGTGGCTGAGAGATCTAGAAAGCTCAGAATATGCTCTCTTATCCCACGGCTAGAATGGCCGAATTGTTAGGCGAACACGTTTTGATTAATGAACTGATGAATTGAGATGGTGGGATGCAGCAGCAATTATTCAATACAGTTAGAGCCGTGGACTAAAAACTAGTTGGTTAAATGTAGAGAAGACCAGCAGCAACTGCAACGACGGACTGGGAAATTGGGCCGAGACTAAGCAGGTCGTACCAAAACATTACTGCGCTTCAGCGCAAATGCCCAGCCAGAGTGTGGTATTTGGCGTATTACTGTTACGTCACGCGACCGCCGGTCGAGCGCGAGATTTTTTGCATGTGATCGACTCATAAAGACCGAACGAATTCCTACTACCTTACCTATGCTGAGTGAGTGACTGACTGACTTGAGTCTCTTACTTACCAACTCTACCTGCTCTCCAGTCAGTCTCTCGCTGTCTCTCCCAGCCAACTGAGAGTGATCTCTCTCCACCATTCAAGCTATTCCCCCGGATTTCTCCTCCTCCTTCAGTCAACCTTACCTTCCTTCTATTTGTCTAGCGAATTAATGTGGGAGATGTCCCACTTTGCAACCGAGTCCTTCCGCTTGAACGCTGCTTTGCTCCATACATAACAAACCCGCCGGTCATTCTGTCATTGTCATCCCCAGCTTATACCCGAATCGAATGCATCTGTTGACAACAAGCGTCCGCATCATAATCCTCAGCTCGTGCCTGTGAGCTTCTGTGGCCTGCGAGCCCCGATCATCCCCGAGCAATCGGGTCCAACGATACTCACGCCGTTTAAGGCATGTCCGCGCTGCCTTCTCGGCGCTGCTCTCCACTTAGGGTAGCAACTGATGCGGAAAGTCGAATTGCGATCTTCAAACCCTCAAATTCATCTCTCCTACGGTGTCGCCATCATGGACCTCAGAAACTCAGAAGCGCATAATGGCAGCGACAGCCCACAACCTGGCCCGTTTGGCTGTATGTTCAACAATCCACAATTTCCTCCGTGCTCATACTAAAGATATGTGCGCGTGTAGATTCTTTCCTTTCACCAATGGACACTCCATACGAACCTGCGCCTGCACGACCGCCCGGGCCCGCTCTTCTTGACGACAACGAGTCCACTATGCTGGACAACTTCTTCACGACGATGAACTCCAACCATTTCTCGAACGACTTCTGGATGGGGGGGCAGACGAACCGATTACTTGGGACTAGCGGGCTAGATTGGCCAGGCGAACTACCGCCCACCTTCGAGGGCTCCACGACGTCTCTTTCACAACCAGGTCTTTCTCATGGCAGCATGGACAAGTCTAGCATGGAGATGATGGCACCGGAGATAAATACAAGTGCAGATATTTTCGCGGCTGCTTCTATGCTTTACCACAACGGACTCACTGGAAACGACTTCAATCCTAGCTTCAATCACCAGAATTTTGCTTCTCCCGACACAGATTTCAACAATCCAAGAATGAATGGTCACGGTAAGGTCCAGGCGCCTAGCAGTCATGGCCAGTCAAAGCAGCCGTCTCGTTGCCGCATGCCCGTGGGGCTTCATACGTCAGAGATGCTATTCGATGTTCGAGAGCCCATATCACCCGAACAACAAGTGACGGCAAAGGTGCGCCCGCTTCATTGGGGCTCCGATGTCGGTTTCATGGGCCAGGGTTATATGGCGCCTCCGGAACAGCCTAATGAGGAGGATCGGACCAAAGAGCTGCTCGGTCATCTAGTATGCCTCGAACCGCAGAGCAGTGCAACGAACACGCGCGCGCCGAGTCCCGTAACAGTAAGACACTCTGGAGGTTACGATGCTCCGTGGGCAGATGCCGCCGCAGCTGGCCAACTCAGCAATTTACGGCGAGG